TCTCTCTCTCTCTCTCTCTCTCTCTCTCTCTCTCTCTCTCTCTCTCTCTTTCTCTTCTCTTTCTGTCTCTCTATCTCTTTAACTCTATACTTATCCCTCTCAATCCCCTGACCTATCTCCTTCTTTTTATGGTTTTGATTACGAATTTCTTTATTAGTTATCTTAATTACTTTTTTCATTCTTCAATCTTTTATGCAGATGATAAATATTATTTAAGTTAATTCAAAAAACAAAAAAGAAGCTTAAACTAAAGTAAGAACTGGCTTTAACATTACCTTTTCTTGTATCTCTACATAGAATGTAGAATATTCTACAGCCTTCTCAGCTATTATCCAATAATCAATATCAATATTCCGGAGTATGCTTACAAACAATAACTTCAATCCAAAGTCGATACGTATTTTTAGACTTTTGCGTTATATTTGGCTCAACTCTGACCATAACAGAAACAATTCTCGGTAAAGCTTTTCATTAACGAATCTTGCCTCGTTCGGAGATTTCTTTTTGAATAGCTTTCACTAAAGAGAATTGTAGTTAGCACTCATAGTACGAAAGCTCAACGAGTAAATTATGAAAGTCATGCTAGCTTTTCCTCCCATAAATAAAGCATTTTCACGACATTTTTGAAACATTCCATTTTGATTTTTGCATTATCTAATATATAGTTTCGCAAAAAAAAATAAATTTAATTTTTCCTCATTTCTTTAGTAAATTTATACAGTATTTTACTGTTTTATTATTACCATTAAAAAATTTTAATAATATTTTTGAGACTTATTAACAATTCGTTTTTTTACATAATTTAATCGCATGTCGTTTAATTTTCTTAAAAAAGGCTTAAGGTGCAAAATTTTTTAAAGCCAAACAAAAACTTATATCAAATTAGTAACTTTGGTTTACACCCTACCTGGCTGATGCTCCAGGCAGATGGAGAGCAGTCATCGGCCCTGTAACTGTAACTAAATCAAAACTTAGAGTATATAGAACGATTGACATCTTTCACAATGTTGCGCAAAGTCAAAAAAAACAACTACAGCGAACTATATCTTCTCCACGGAAAGATTATGTTTTTTGTTTTCGTGAAGTACTTACTTATTTGGTATGGTGTTGGTAGCGAAAATAATGAATCCATGTCTTTAGAATTCAAATATATCACCGAGAAAAACGGCCCGTCACACACAACTTCGTTTAACACGATTATTCATATAACCACTTTTCAAACTAATTCTTCATGTGGGCAGCGGCGAAAAAATGATCCGATCCGAGCCATTTTTAATACCGTTCGTCTTGGCGCCAGGACATATCAGTGTGCCAAATTTCATCAAAATATCTCAAAAGTTGTGACTTGGCAAAGTTGAACACAATATATCAGATGGGTGGACCGACAGTCAGTCAGATAAGCTTAGATCTATTCAGAGAAAGTAATTTTGAATCAATTAGTACTGTAAAAAATGGGTCCCTTCCGAGTTCTTCAGAGTGCTGTATACATCAGCATAAACTTCATATACCCTTGTACCAGTTGTCTAAAAAAATTTGTTCCAATATATGGTTGGCCTACTTTATTCCCGTGGTCAATGTAGTTTCGGTGACGGACAGACGAACGGACGTGGAGAAATTTGTTGTAGTACTCACGTAGTTCGGGTTTATACCAAACTTATAAATTTGGAAAAGAGCTGTTTCTACTATTAAGTGGCCTACACCAATCCGATTAATATAACCCTTTACCTGCTTTCTTAATAGAAAATAAGAAAAATTGCAAGTAACTGCAACCTAAGGTCCTATTCTTAATGAGAATTTTTATATGGGAAAAGGTTCGAAAAATAGACATACATGGTCCGAACTTAACACAGTAAATTTAGATGTCAAATCATAATCAATGTAAAACCCCACTTTTTGTAAGGACATTTATAGCAAAAGGGGATCAAGAAACGGCCCCGTTGAACACCAAATTTTCCATCACTATTTAGTACGCCACTACTACGCAACACTACTTTTTACTGCTTTTTGTCGCAGAATATCAAATATTAAAATTTATTTTCATATAGCGATTTTTTTTGTATTAAATGGAGGTTTATAATCGTACGATCCAATCCATTTTCAATACGGGTTATCCCTGAGCCAAACTCTGGCAAGGTATACCAATTTTAATCAAACTATATCGACAAAGGAAACCTTTAGGTAGAATATAAAGGTGTTATATGGACGAAGATTAGACGGACAAATGCACAGACATACTTAAATCGAGTCGAGAAAATAATTCTGTCTATTATAATGAATTACGAATCTATCTCAAGTCTTCTTACGAATTGTATAGAGCCATACAAGCTTACTTAAAACGAGTGATGTAGGGCCTAAAAAGAATGTAAAAGTTTTGATTCGAAATTATTGACCGCTAATAATTCGCGTAATCATTGAAAACTGGCTAAATTCATGAGTCGTAATTTAACATTTCCCCTGAAGCAATAGACTTTTCAACGCGAACTAAAGCTATTGTAAGCAATAATAACAGAGCAGCTTCATTTGGTACCGAATGGACAAGCGAGGTAATAAATAATCAAATATTTACACGCTATTGTGCTTAGCTTTCAGTAAATGTTCAGATCATGACTTAAACATTTATCATCTGTATATTTTGTAAAAAAAAAAAAGAAAATTTATTTGGGACTTATTTTTTGTTGTTCAACTGAAAGATTTAATTTCGCATCGCAGGGAGATATTGAATCACAAGTATTGGAATGGAAAAGAAAATTCATTAACAAATACGTGAAAAAGATAATAAAAAATATATATATATATATATATATATAAATATACATGTACATATATACAAACGTATAGAACAATAGGCCATTAAAACAAGTGAGATTTATTAATATGTGTCGCGAGGGCAGCAATTTTTGATTGTTGATTAGAAAGCATCGGAAGTAACTTCGTTTCTTTATTTATTTATTATTTAAAATTTATTATTTGGAATTTTTTTTATATGCCTTACTTCAGTAGCAGGTAACTTAGAAAATCGAGCTGAAAAAAATTAATAGACAAACGGAAAAAAAAAAGAAAATATACATATATTTGATTTAATTAAGACATTATCGTTTATTTTAAAATATTTTCAAAATTTTTGCAAACTTCAGACCAAAATCAGGCCTCATGCCACAGCAACAGCAACGCTAACAGCAGCAACAGCACCTTAACCGATCTTCAAATTCATCTTTTGCATACAGTACACCATCAACGTCAAGCACGCGTATCCGCCTGTAGCATACAAAGATCGGTTGAGGTAATACCCAGCACACAATATCGTGCCGAAAGTACATATTCCATAAACTCCGAAGCTTCATCGTAAGTTCAGTAAAAGGCAATCGAAAAGCAAAAAAAGAAGAAAAGCAAAAAACATAAACGCTTCCTGTCTGTGTGAAAGTGTATAATTATTTACACAAAAAAAAAAATGCTTCCTTCATCTTCAAAATAGTCTTTCTTTCTATCCTTCTTTCTCTCTCTCTCTCTCTCTCTCTCTCTCTCTCTCTTGCTCTTTCTCTATGTCGTTTGCTCTTGCTTTCTCTCAGTCACTTTCATGTTCTCTTTCTCTCCTCTGGACGGTTTGTCCAAATGTCTTTTAGTCGCTTTTTTCTTCTTTCTCTGCCACTTTGTTTCTTTGTCATTCTCGACATTACTCTTTCCCTCTCTATCTCTCTCTCCCTCTTCCTACTTTCCTTCGCGCCCCCCTCCCCCTCTCCCACCACACCACCTTCTCTCGCTATCATTCCATTCATCATCACATATTATTCCGTGGCTGAAATATTGAAGTTTTATTTTCTCTGTGTATGATATCGTGCTTTTGTGTGTATGTGTACATGCATATGTGTGCGTGTGTGTGTATGTAAAATTGCCCATTTCGCTTCCAATGTATCTCTGCTTTCAATAATCGCTCCATTCTTTCAATCTCCTCTCTTTCTTTAATGTCTGTCAATTGATATTTAAAATATATATATAAAAAGATTTTTCATTTTGCTTTCCTTTATGTGTTGTATAAGTATTTGTGCAAATGTTTGTGTAAATGTGATTCATCGTAGTATATGATAGTATGCTGTTGTTGTGACTGATGCTTTTCAAAAAAGTTTTAAAAAAAAATTATACAAAATGGCTTTCATTTTGTTCCTTCTTGGTTTTTTTTTTTTCTTATTTCTTATATCTGTTAATTTTTATGTTTATTTGTTTTTATTCTAATTGATGATAAATTCTATTTTTATTTATATATATATATAATTGCAAAGTGAGCACTTTCATTCGTAGAGGAATATATATATAGTGTACAAATGTGCGCAAAGATAACTAAATGGAAACACAAGAAGAAGAAGAATCAATGAATCTACGGACCAGCAAAATTTATTTAATTTATTTGTAAATTTCTTTCCCGGATATAGATGCACTCGCATAAGCAAAATTAATAATTACACGCATTGTCAACATATTAATAAATCAACAAGCAAATAATATTATGACATGGAACATAAACTTACATTTAATTCGTCTTCTTTATCAGTATTTATTCCCTTCACAGTAAGCTAAATATGAAATTCTTTCAATTCTCTTATGGCAATCATCACAATCGAAGAGAAAAAACGGTATACTGTTTTATGATATCAAATAAGAGAAAAGTTCTTACATTCTCTACAGATAGCAGTCTATATAGGATTTCATTTCTTTATGAGACTCTCATCTCAAGTGGATGTTCATTGCGATCGGCTGCGTATTTTCTGTTTTACAACTCCTAAGTTTACTAATTGTTGTCAATGCCCTAACAACCGTATGTGTATATGTATGTGTATCGGGAAAGCCATATTATAATACTTAAATGTGCAATAGAGCATGAACGTGGATTGTTAAAATGTATGTGTATTCATCTAATTCTTGCATGCGATTTTCGGTTTAATCTTCTCCGTAAGCAAATAGCAAAAATGCAGAAAATAACCAAATTCTATATCTCCCTGTAATTCAATTTATATTTTATTATTATTTTTTTTTTTTTTTTTTTTTGTTTATTTTTTTGTTTAATTTTCCTTCACATGATTTGATGATCAAATTGAATATTAGCAAAAAAAAAAAAAAAATTAATACAATAAACTATGTAAATAGATATTCACCATCATCTCGGTTAAATGATGGTCAACTGTCGGAGTTTATAGATGGCTTGGGTCCCGGACAATTGGTGGGACGTCAAGTTTTGGGCGCGCCCTCTTTGGGCGATATACAGTTGTCGTTATGCCATCAAAAAGATTGCCTCGAAGTCGAAGTCATCAGAGCCAGAGACTTACAAGTAAAATTATTTTTCGAAATTATTTATTATATAAAACAAATGCATTTGAATTCTCTTTCTTTGACTTTTAATTTTCAATTAGCAAAAACCCACATCAAAAATGCTGCCGGCTCCGTACGTAAAAGTTTATTTGGTTTCGGGAAAAAAATGCATTGATAAAATGAAAACAAGTACAGCCAGGCGTACCTTGGATCCCTTATATCAACAATTGTTGGTATTTAAGCAACCGTACAAAGGCTGTATATTACAGGTAGAGAGATCTTCTTCCTTTTTTTATTTTTTTTCTTTTCAAAGAATTTCTTTTGATTAAGAATGTATTTAATGTCTTAATAAAATTTATTATAACTTAATAATGCAGGTAACGGTTTGGGGTGATTACGGCCGCATGGAGAAAAAAGTCTTCATGGGTGTAGCTCAGATAATGTTGGACGATTTAAATTTATCAAATATTGTAATTGGCTGGTATAAATTATTTGGAACCACTTCACTGGTCAGTTCTGCAAATAATAACGCAAATCTATCTAGACGTTCATCATTAACATCGCTTGATTCACATTTAAATTTTGGCAATCAAGAATAGAACAGACAAAGCAATTAATGCCAAATCCTTCAAACAGTCAACACGCACACACTCTCTCTCTCTCTCTCTCCCTCTCTACTTTAACACAACAATATAAACACTACACTAGTATGGAATAATGAAAGACACACACATGGAAAACTTTACTCGAAATAACTTTGCATAAATTTAAATACAAACAAACCAAAACAAAACAGTGAAAATTAAAAAAAAAAAAAAAAAAACCAAAAAACAAATAGTAGCCTTAGAAAACTTGCTATTCTTCCTATCTCTCTCTCTCTCTCTATCTCTCTCTTAATCTTTCCGTAATACAAGTTATAAAGTTTTTTCATAACTCTCTCTTTTTGCTATGAACATTTCCCGCACACAATAGTTGCTGTATCTTTCCTTAACTGTTTCTTTTCATGGCGAGTACATACATACATATTATGTATTATAGTATAAAATAAAAAAATTAAAACAAAAATCGCATTAATATAATTTATGAACAATATATTTTAATATAATCAAAAACTCCAATAACTATAAATCAACTCATAAGCTTAAAACGAAAAGAAGAAAAAATAAGAAAAACACACACACACATATATACACGTCTTTAACAACTTAGTACTCTATCAACAATCGTCTGTAGTGTTGTAGGTATGTTACTTTACACTCTCTCGAATTTTTACATTATTTTTTATTTATTTATTTAGTTTTTTGTTTGTTTTTTTTTGATCGACATGATGTTTCTTCCTCCATTTTGTTTTTACTTACTCTATTACTTATGCCTTAATAATATTTTTGGTTAATGTTATATATACATATATATACGTATATAAATATTCATAGTGGTAGATGACATAATAATATTTTCTTAATTATTGAGCATGCTTTCTATTCAACCTATATCTTAAGTTTCAAAATTATAAAGAATAAATTAGAAACAAGTTGAATTTCAAATTTTATCGTTAATTGTGGAGATACCAATAGCAGTTTTTCAAAAATATATTCACGGCATCGAATGGATTGCTTTCGTTTTTTCTACATTTCGGGCCTTTGCGTGAACAGATCGCGGCCATTTTTTAGCCACATATTCCTTGTCAATCAGGGAATGTTTCGTGCGAAACCCTGGCTTCGGTCCTGTATATTCGCTATAAATCAACTTCATGGGTCGCGGTAAAAAGAAAGTATGTAATTTTAAATAGCGTTGTCATAGAGTTATTTCTCCTATTGTTACAAATCGGAAATTAACTGTGAGTTTGTGCGGCGCATGACGACTAAAAATATTTGTCTTTTTAGTGTTAATTCTTACCTTAAAATAAAGAGAACAAATTGTTTGGATATTTTATATGAAAAATAATCAAAACATTCAAGTTCATCCAAAGTCCAAATGAACATCAAGGGTTTAACATGATAAGATTGGGTGTAAACAATATCAGAGAATCATTCTTTCTCCGCTATAGAGAGCAAATTATTGATGAAACTACACTAACATATGTGTGAGTCATTTTCAAAGTGGGCGCCTACTGCTAGTCTGTTTGCTCTTAAATAAATTTAAGTGGACGCTAGAGGACGTACGAAAAACCCTTAAAAACAATAGAATTTTTTTCAAGTTTACTGCAAATCTTTCAATGAAATACAAAATTCTTATTATAAGCAGAACACGAGGAAGCTTCTAAGTATCAGTTCATTTCAATTGCTTACCAGTATGCGAATTCTTTTTCTTTCGTGCTACCCTTTTGATTATACATAACATATATATACAGGCGTCCATTGCTTAACACGGTTAATTCTTAACATGCTGTATCGAAACCATATCCTACGAAGCTTCGTTTTTTATTTAAACTGAAATATCGTAGAGAACTATCGTAGGGTAACTTAACTTCGGTATCATTATTGCAAGTCAAGACAAATGAGAAATAACATTCGGTCGTGACCGAATTTTTTATACTCGGTACCCTAGAAGAAAGGAAAAGAGCTAATTTCTCATACTTGCGGCTCGTCACGGTTGATTTTTTCTATTTTTAGAAAAAAACGTAGAAGGGTCGAAACACATCAGTGCAGGATATTCTTTAGAGTGAACGCAAGCAAACAGAGAGACGCACCGATAGATAGGCAAACAGAGAGACAAACTTATATAGATTCGGAAAATTGGCGTAATAAAATCAACCAGCAATCTCAGCAATCTCTTCTTCTAGACTTTATATACATTCACACAAACTTAATACGCCGTTGTAGCCACAAGTGGCGTAGAGTATAAAAATATATTGAAAAAATTATAATAAATATAATAATGTTCATCAAAAATTATAGTCAAACTGTTTTTTTTTCTCTCAAAGTTGGTTAAAACTCCTCTTATTAACGGTAAAATAAAAATAAAAGGAAAAATCGATTGAAAAAAAACACATTTTTCTTTTTTTTTGAAATCGTCTTAGCATCCGAATCATGTTATATTTGTCGCAAATTTGATGCGGTATTATATGAAAAGCATGCTTTACAAGTCACGTATTAAGCTGGAGACGCTTGTATATACATACATAAATATCGTGTAGAAAACTATTCCAATCTTAATTTAGCTGAACACGTTGCGAATACACCTATCTGTCTTACATGGAATACTTTTGGTTTGTTTTTTTTTTTTTTATATTTCACATTCAATATCATTTCTCATCGGCTTTATATCTCTTATTATACAGTAAAACATCTATATATCTATATATGTACATGTGCATAGGTATTTTTCTAAATAAAATGGCTAGTTTTTTTTTTTTTTTTTTTTTTGGTTAAGCATTATTATTATTAACTCATTAAAATTTCTTCCCAATGTTGTGCTTCTAGTAGTAGGAAAGTCATACATCATGCCTTCTTTGCATTGCAATTAGATTAGAAGACCGTTCTCATTGTTCGCCCAAAGAAAACAAAAGTATTTAATTAATTATGAATTTTGTTCGAATTTTTTATGAAATATGGAAAAAAAAGGGTCGACCGATTGTTTGGGCTGGTGATACTATTATGGAAGAGGACGAGGAATGTGAATGATTCTATCCGGTATTACAATTTCAATTATATTATTTCATAATATCTTCATACTACGAAAAGTAAGAAGTAGAAGTAAAAATAGCTTTGAGACAATCACAAAAATTTGCAGCCAATCTATCTATATCAGGATGGAAGTAACTTATTAAATGTATTCAATGCTTGTTTCCATGTCTTTCCAATAAATTAACTAGAAATTAGCTTTTTTTTTGTTACAAAATTATTAACGCGTATAAAGAAGGCTACGTAAAAAATTTACATATCGTTTAAATTTATAATAATTTGTAAAATAGAATATCTTTAATTAGTTCACAATAGAAAAAATTACTAGAATTAGTTCATCGAATTAAAGGTTTGAAAAGCTTTTGCTCAAGGACGTCTCGCTAAAAAACCAAAACTCGTAGATCCGCATAAATAGCCGAAAAGGCAAAGAATCGCTACTGATTAGTCGCGTGTTCCGATCTCCAGTGCAGCCGGGGGATCTCCAATACGGGTGCATATGATGTAAGTTATTCAAAACTCTAGGTAGGTGGAACGATCCCAACCCATTTTCAATTGCGTTCGTTCTTTGGCCAAAGGACATCAGTGTAGCAAATTTCAGCATCATAGTATCTTGAAAATTTCAATCCGTAGGTTGACAGACATCAGACGGACAGATGGACAGACAAGCTTCAGTCAATGCATGAAATGGTACAGTACAATAAAAGATGGATCTACCTAAAGTCCTTCTGGGTGTTGTATTCATTCCCACAAACTGAACATATCCCGTACTAGATAAGGTGCCGCGTAATATAATAAGAGAGGTACGTTGACTTGTTTCCCTTGCAACTGCATATTTATCGTGTATTCTTCTATTGCTTTAATAAATAGTTTTAAGAAAGTTTTGATTAATATTTTAAGAGTTTTACACCGCAGGCGTTTTTCAGAATTTCATATGTAAAACTAAACACGAGTAACCTGTGGCTATCACAAAGAGAGTAACTGCTAAAAAGAAGCGGCATTTTCTATCGGTTTATGAATTAGATTCGCGTCATCTTGCTCTATTCGTAAATCCCTTGTATATACATTTCTATTCAAAGTGGTGTCCGCATGTCTTATCTTATTACTTAATAGTCTATAAGCATTGATATGCATTGCTACCAAATCCACCGGACAAAGGGCCAACTGATATGTTTTTTTATCGTATAAAACAAAAACTTAACCGCGATGACCGTTATTTTGAAAATTATTTTTACATAAAATTTAGTTGAGCTTTTAGATTAGCTTGAGTTAACTTCAATTTCAATGTAACGTACTCTTAAGTTTTATAACTTTAAACTTGGCTTTTATTTTTAAATTTTTATGCATCAAAGAAGTTTTTTCTTTTCTTTTCAAAGTTGAACTCTCAAAGCCGACCGATTCGAATCATATATAAAGGCGCCTTTAACTATTGATTAAAAAATTGTTTCAGTCTCAGTCGTACATTAATTTTTGTTTAACCCTTTAATCCACTGCAAATTTTTCAATAAATTTTTTTTTTTTTTTTGCTTAGTAGATGCCTTTGACTTTAGAGAGAATTCATTAGCCGCAAAAAACTATTTCTTTAAAATTTCGCGGTTTTGCATCTTGGGTGTAGCAACTAACATCACTGTGTGTAATTTCACTCATGCCGTGACTAATATTTTAGGGATAATCGAAATATTGCAGATGAATATTAACAACGAACCATACGATTTTTGTCTTGATATCGACGTTAAGCGGATTAAGAAAGCTAAGGGATCTTTGACGTTCTAACAAAATTTGTTGAAAAAAGAGGAGGAAATTCACTTTTATAGTTCTTGATTTGACGATTAATAAAAAAAAAATAACCAAAAGTTTTATTAAGATTAGAAAACATGTCTCTCATGCCTTAGTCACTTAAAGAGTAGCTGTGGTGTTGCAATATGTTTCCAAATAATCATTTTTTTCTCTAATATCTCAAGGCATGCTTGAGAACTTCCTCAAAGCAAAGCAAAGCCCTCAGCAAGCAGCTGAGAGCTTAGAAGTGGACTAGAATTGACCATTTGAAAAAATTCGTTCTTCTAAAAAAAAGCAACTTTCACACGCGATTGTCAATACCAAGAAAAAATCTGCGATTTAGATTATGAAACGCATCTTAGGATTTGTGCAATGCCGTTCGCATTCATATAATCCAACGAAGGATACGAGTTGAATTTTCTTGAAATCACCATCGAAAGCCTGCAGCACTCGGAAACAACTTTCAGAATGCAGGTATCTCTGTGTACATGTATTCTGGATCGGTATGTCAAAATCGTAATCGATTTAGACGTATCTGTCCACATTCTCCCAATGCACAAGTTACGTTAATGACTTTAATTAAACAAATGACTTGGATCAGCCTGAGGACACAACAACTCAGCTTTTTCTTCATTAAGTTATGAATTAAGAATACATTTACCCCATATATACTCCTAAGCGAAATTTTCCATCTCTCGACATATTAAAAGGCAAATGGATGCACAGCCTGATAAAGCAGTCATTGTTCGATTTTTAGGTAAATTTTATCCTGCTTAAAGTCGAACTTAAGGCCAGCAGACGTGTTAACACGTTACTTACCGCTAATGCTTGCAAGAAATATTCCTCTGATGCCCCATCAAATTCGAAATGATCATAAAGAATTGAATGGCTGGACTTTTGAAAACTTTGGAAGCATTCTCCTGCGTTTGGCTTTCTTTTCTCTGCATTTTATTCGACCACGTCATGGAATCATTCCCTCCTCATCTAACGACGAGTTTTTAACGGGAATGTACACTTTAATAAGTTCGATGTTATATTTCCATTATCTGAGAAATGAAGAAAGGACAGGATTTGCTGAGGAAGCTATTATGGCCCTTAATTTTCCCGAACATAGTCATTTCATTACAATCTTGGTTAGTACACCGATCAAGAGAAGAGAAACCCAAGAGAATGCAAAATATCTATGCACACTGGCATTGCGTGAAGTTTCATAAATCTTAGCAAAATGCACAAGTATATACACACGGTATGTGTTAAGCTCTTCTTATATATGATCATCCAAAAAAGAGCGCGCAGTCATTAAAAATTTTTGTGTTAACAGAGTATTTCTCTGAGTGTTAAGTGAACTTGATCAATTGGCTCTGTTGGATATGAACAGCGTGCGGTACTAAGAATTCTCGCTAATACTTGCAGACATCCAAGCTCTCGCGTCAAGGACGATTACAATTTTCATCCGTTCAGTTCCATTTATGATGATGAATGATATATCAGCAAGAGTACAAAGTCCCTCGTGGCGCTACATCCGATAGGGACACCATAGCTACATGGCACCGTATAAGAGCTAAACATAGATGCGAATGTAATTATGGATTATAGAAGGCTTTTATTGTCTATAGACATCCTGGCTTTCCTAGGATTAAAAATGATTTAGATATTGAGTGGCAGCGAGTTCGACAGGTTACCAGCTTTGACTAAGAATAGTCTTGAAGATGGTAAATACTTATAGTCAGACATTGTCCGTTCCGATATATAGCCAACGGAAGCTTTTCAAATAAATTATCCTGTTGTATGAGAACGGATGAGATTAGGAAGAAAGATTAGATTCTCGCTTATTAAATCACCAACTGGGTACTATTATGTATTTAGTTTCACTATTAAATAATCTTTTTTTTTTTTTGTTTAATATTTATATGCTTTTTAAAAAATATATATACGAAAAATGCCATTTTATTTGAAAAATATTTATAATAAAACACGCAAATTGAAAAACTCACAAATATTTTTGCCAAAAAAAAAAAAAAGAAAAAATATTCGTGTTAGTAAAATAAAAAAGTGGAATCTAAAATAAACTTTAATATTTGCAGTAACCTTTGCAAGGAGCTGTCATGCAAACAGCTTATTAAAATATCTTACCAAAAAGAAAAAAAAATAAAGAAAAAAAAGTGTTAACAGCAGAACTAAACAGAACTAACACAGAATAGAAAGTTTCAACTGGTATAAGCGAACTCACCAATTTATGCCTGATGGGAATTGAGAGCAACGAGAACAAAAAGGTGGTATATAAAAACACAAACATCAGCATTACGGGCATTTAATAAACTAAATTATAAATTTATATTAAAATATCAGGTCATCTAAAGGTTTTTTCTCCGTTACAGAATAAAGAAAACAAAAACAAAAACAAATATTAATTATTACAAAAATCATAAAAAAATAATAATAATAAAGATAAAAACAAGAACAAAGCAACAAAAGATAGAAAACGAAATATGAAAATTTTTTAAGATTTAAATAAAAAAAATTAAGAAAAAATTGCATTTAGTATCACAAATTAACCAATAATTACAAAAGAAAAAAAAAGAAAAGAGAAAAGCTAAAAATAAATCCGAAAATACATGTATTATATAAAATAGTAAATGAAAATATATATTATACAAAAGTAATTTAAAATAAAATAAGTACAGTAATAATTTTTACAAAATTTGTTAAAATTCTAGTTTGTTCATTTATTTATTTATTCATTATGAAATATAATGTGTTTCCGAATTTCCAAGTTTGTGCTATGAATTTTTTTTTTTTTTTTTTAAAGGGAAAACAAATTTTTTTCTAAATAAATTCATTTAAATATCTATTATATATATATATTTATATGTATGTCCATACGTATATACGTATGAATATATATATATATATATATATATATACATCTATGTGTATGTATGTATATATATATGTAGATATGTATGCATATACGTATATATATATATACATATATATATATATATATATATATATATTTATATATATACAAATTATTATATAAGCACTGCAAACACAATGTTCAAGGAAACAGACCATTAACTCTTAATTCGAATATAAAAATTTACAATAATTACGTGTTAACGACTTAATAATATGAAAACAAAAATATAAAACAGAAAAATATTTTGAATTTACTAAATAAACAAAACAAAAAATATATTTCTTTCAACAATACTTCTAGACAAAAAGAATAAAAGAAAACAAGGATACCAATATAGAAATTATTACATATATAATTAAAGAATACAAAGAAAAACGAAAGAATAAAATAAACCATTGCAACTAAAACAACATAATTACGGTAATGTTTATAATAAATTACTTAACATATAACAACGGAAAACATAAAAAAGAATCAATCAAAAATTAAACCAGAATTGAACCTGAATTGAATTCGAATAAATTGTTTTTCGACATACTTGCAACATTACTTTTCTAACAGTCTTTACAAAAAATCCACATTATTATCAGTTATTGTCCGGCATTTTTCTTTCTTTCTTTTTATCACAAAGACAAAAATCTTTCTGGACTTTCTGAAAAGGTTAACAAAAAAAAAACAAGAATATATTTATACAAATCAGTTTCACCGATCAACATCAGGTGTAGACGACATTTTTTTTGACACTTTTCCGATATTTATTTATGCCATATTTTAAATTGATTTTTATACCACACCCACGATAACGGATATGAAAGCAAATAAATCAAGAATTTTTCTTATAAAAATTACATTTTTTTCAGTAACCCAAACAAGCACATGTGTTACTAAGAGGAATAAACAATCATTTATATCGGATTGCAACCATGTGTGCTCTGTCAAAATTCTAAGGCAGATTTCCAAAGTCTTCGTGAGGCATTAATTAATGAAATTTTAAAAACTCGTAAGAAATTGACGGGAGAGTCCCCTCAAGCCAGATCAAGGCAAGCAGGTAGAGTGTGTCATGTCAGATCTTATTACTATTTAGTCTTAGATGGTCTTTTCCAATATCAAAAAAGATCGTTGACCCGGTCGATAATACGGTTCTGCGGTCGTCCCATGCGGCGGCAGAGCAATCCATATATAATCACTCGTCATTCACCATTCGATTGCTGCCAAACAACTTCAAATTCGATTGTTGTATTCAAAATACGATCCGATTGTCCCGCCAACCTCATACGTATAATTTGCATATTTATTAAAGAATCTGGGGATTATCTGATCAATTTACTTAAAGGAAAATTATATCCTCACTTTTAAATTGGTTTTTAAAGTAAGAGTACCGCATCAACAAATGTCTGCATATGTCCAACGATTCTATTGGAATTTTAATTTTCGAAACAAACTTTCATTTACCTATACAAAGGAAGCGAAACTACTTACATTTATTAGAGAAAAAATATTTTAATTAAATTTAAATAAATCCAATAAAATTCGATAATTTTAATGTAATTATATTATTATAATATATTTTTATCAAATTTCCATTACTTTAAGTAAAGCCTTTAAATCCTTTTTTTAATTTTTTAATAAAAACTTTCTTTTATATTAAATTATATCTTAAGATGAAAGCATTCAAGAAATTCAAATTCAAATTTAAACCGCATTCCCGATGTACCTAAAATATCGAAAGAGCTGTAAAAATGGTTACCTGCTTGACAGTTACAAAAAATTTAATACAAACATAAGCATATATCTAACAAAAGAAACATTTAATGTTTTATTATTAAAACGAAAGCTAAAACTAAAAAAAAAAAAAAAAAAAAAAAAAAAAAAAAATGAAGAAAGTAAAGAAACTTTGTTAGAAAAATATCATTTTTAATGAGGCAGACAATTTAAATTTTGTTTTTAAATTTTAATTTTACAATAGATTTAATTTTCTTTGGAGCCTTCAATGTCTGACGTAACCTAAACTGTATAAGGATGAGAGATGATGATGCAGCATATATATATCCTCCAAATTCATTTACTACTATCGTTTTCTTCTTTTTTTTTCATTTCATTTTGTAATTTGGAAAACTAAGTACACTTACAGTTGAACAAAACGATGGGTCTTAAGCCTACATTTATCTCCCAAAGAATATTTTTATTCATCTTAAATAAGTCTTGTTTAATCTGTTATGTTATTATTATTCGTTTTAAACTTGGATTCATTTCAAAGCGCGAAAAAGCTCTATTTATACCCTACACCATTTGTGGTACAAGGGTATATTAAGTTTGTACGGATTTGTGCAACAACTAGAAGAATCTGAGATAGACCCACATTTTATTATGCCGATCGGAATCGACGCTTTCGACGCTTGTTTGTCCGTTAGTCTGTCTGTCTGTATGGTTTTCTTGTGTTTAACCTACAGATCGTAATTTCAATTTTCCGCTGTTGTAAAAATGCAAGTTAGATACTTTTCTGTAATTTTTTTTTCTTTTTTTTTGCTTGATAGACTCACATCACAAAATATCACACTACAATATTTACTTAAAAAAAAAAAAAAGAAAAAAACAATAAAATATTATATAAATTACTACGGAGTTCTTTTCAATGTAATTTCCGTCCGTTTCAACATTTGAAAATCTCACTAGGCGTTAATAAAAGTTTGTTCATTTTAAATAAAAAAAAAATAAAAAAAAAAAAAATACGTAAATAATAAAAAAAAAAAGAAAGAAAAGCCATCCATTAATGAATCCTGAGAAAAAGAAAACAAAAAACCAAAATATAAAACATAAAATATATATCAGAGTAATAAAGAAAAAAATGAAATCATTGAAAATGATATTTTTCTAGCCGTAAAGAGAAAACGTGGTAAAAAGAAGACAATATAGTGCGTAATAAAGCAATAATTTCCAATTTGAAAATATTGTAGATCATGTAAATACATACATACAGAAAGAAAGTGCTTATATAAATCAATAAAAATATAAAAAAAACATTTTGTGTACAACAACAGCATTTCTTTGACTGCGTTAAGAACTTTACAGACCAAAGAAAAAAAAACAAATAAGAACAAAATGAAACTTTGTTGTTGTTTTTGTTTACTTATTTAAAAGAATTTAAGAATTTAATTTTGTTAATATTTCTTATATTAATATTAACATTGAAAATTTATTTTCACTTTTGAAATCTGGAAAATGGAATTTTAAAGGACAGCAAACAATTCCCTACGACTATTGAGTAGGCAATCCATGAAAGAGGAACATAAACGAAAATAGATCGCACAGACGTCAGCAAAAAGGAAAATCTATCCGAAAGGCTCTGTAGCGATTCAGTTTTTTCTTAGCACACTCCAGTACCATGGAATTATAGAGAGAGAGTATGTCTTGGTTTATTTTCAATTCAAATAAGATCATTACTATCCAAGTTCCTTGAGTTGTTGTTACGCGTAATTAAGAACATTATAGCCGAAGAAGACCAATTTTTAGATACTTTATGTCACTTTCACGCCTGGCACAGTGTCTCGTGCATGTTCATGACAATGCACCAAAAATTACACATTATTTTTATGGCGCAACGGTGCGCTCTTCATGGAAGCTCTCATATTAGAGGAAAGTGATTAATTTTTATCCGATCCAAAATTTTCCACATAAATTTAGAATGCTATTACTCAACGATATAATAATGTCGCCAAATTCTGAAAATCGTAATTTGTTTTGACATAACGTTTGGGCCAAAAAACTTTGCTTACAAAAACCGATAGACAATCATCGGACGGATAGGCATATAGATAAGCTTAAAGTGATTTAGAAAACGATTCCGAATCGGTCGTTGCAATAAAAAGTGGGTCCATCTTAGGTTCTTCTGGATATTACACGTATGAGCACAAATTTAATATGCTCTGTACCGCGAGTTGCCTAGGGCTGCAATAAATGAAAATCGAAATTACTTATGCCACTTCTCAAGTTTGCCATTCTATTAACTAACCCATTATCTCATCGAACTCATAAATCTAACAGGGAATCGAAATAAATTCAAACTAAATCGAGGATCATACCGAAGAAGCGTAAACTTATGAAGACTACGAGCTTTTTTAAAAAATAATTTCCTATAATTCCAAGAGAATCTTTCTCGAAACAAGGGTTATTTATATATAAACAAATTCAACTAGATGTAGGTGCCTATAGAACTTCGGTTTAAAGAATGTAGCATTCATTAGAAGCGATGCTGGCTAAACATCGGCTTATGGTATAGACTTTGGCAAAATTTTAATTAATAATTTTCGATGATTATATCCTACGCCTACCTTGTCGCACAAGATCATATTCATTTTTTGCGAGTGTACGCTTAAGATTAATCCACCGAAGCACGTTTCACAGACTCGAATTTTTAAGACATTTTGATAAAATTTGGTACACCGACGTGTTTTAGCCCAAGACCAAACGAACGATATTAAAAAT